CTTTGCATTATATTTAAAGAAATTAAATAATGAAGAATCTGCAAATATATTTCTTGCATTGTGATAAAACAACGGTTTTTAGAGCCATCAAATTCTGAATAATGTAATCCTTCACCGAATATGAGCATCTGGAAGCCCTAATTTGAAATCAGGACTTTGTTTTATTATCTATTTCATATTATGACAGACATTAAAGAATTTTTGATTAACAAACTCAATGACTTCAGAGCGAGGAACGGCAACACTGTACGAAAAAAAAAAAATTATCTCCAGCGCGCGAGGCTGTGTATCGGCAATTCTAAAGATATGATCATTTAAAAATTATTTTGCGATATTGCTGTTGAATTGAATTTTATGGTTTAAGTACGAAGAACATGATATTTAATAAATAAAGGTAACACACAAAACGATAAAAAACACTCTTTTCGAAGAAAGGTAAAATGTTTATTAGTTTTGATTGCATTTTATTATTATTATATTTTCTCATACATTGAGAAGTATTAACTACACTAAAGTGCAAAACTTGAACAAGAAACTCATTTTCAACATAAACCACGAAAGTTTTGGAAACCGCTTTTTGCAATCGGTACAATGAAAAGCCAACTCAGCGGAAAGGTGATCTACGTGCAAATATTAACACCGTAATAACACCAAGTTAAAGCATAATATCAGAAAGGTACGTCAGTATACTCAAAATGCAAGGAGTTAGCTCGCGCAGTGCTAGGCAACTTAAAAAGAAGTGTAAAAGATGCATTTCCAGGCATTCTTCTGCAAGTTAAAGTGAGATTGAACGTGCAGTAGGCTACAAGAAAATATCAAGACGCCTTTACATAAAGTAAAATGACTGGCAAACTTGAGAAGGGACATACTTTGACGTCTGTTGCTCAGGTGTTTGGAACTGATAAAAAAAGTGTTGTACCACGAGCCTGAAAAGCCTCCCAGACGACAGGTACAGGTATATAAGAAAGGTTGGAAGTAGTCAGCTAAGGAAAACAACAGTGACTGATGACCAGTATATCGCCTTGTAGTGAAAAGAAATTGAAACCAGACAGCAGGCAACATTGCTCTGCAGCTGCGCACGACAACCAGACGACAGGTGTTCCGGTTTACTGTGGCTATACGACTTAATAAAAGTGGCCTATTCGCCCGCATGCCATTCACATCAGCCTATTGGCAGCACCGTTTACAGTGGTGTAGAGAACTCAAGACTGAACATCTCATTATTGGAGTCACGCCCTCTCTACCAATGAAAGTCGTTTCCGGCTTACAAACGATTTTCGGTTCCAGTTGATATGGAGTGAGCTAAGGATCACGGAGGAAGAAATAGAAGGAGACGCCTTCCCTTCACCATGGCTGACTCACCATGGCTATGCCACATGAACTCCGCAAAGTAGGAATACAAAATGTCATCCATTACTGCAGAAGATCCCGCTTGTGAAAACTCGCTCTTAACGTGGTCGCTCTTAAGTGTTGGTGTTGCGCGTTTGGCAACAAAGGCTAGCTCTTAAAGGTAAATAAAGAACGTCTACCCGACGTTACTTCGGTAACTCCTAAAATGAAGAGATGGTATGACACATAACGAAACACAATTTAATTACACAGAAAACCTACATTAAACATTCAGACACTCTTCTGACTACATCTGGTTACAAGTCAATTACAATTGCAACTCGCTGCTATGTTCTAAAGCTATTATACCCAACAGTTCATCACATAACGTCAGTCTTTTACTCGTGTCATTTGGGGAGTGAAATGATGCCACTTGCAACATATCTTCCCGCATTTTTAGTTGCTGGATATTTACTCAAAACAGTCACTTAAAGTTTAAATTCAATCTCTCTGGTTTCTTGAGAGTTCGACTAAATCGACATGCAGTCTTTGGAGACTTTCTGGAGTCATCATCATATGAATCCGGCGAATGTGCTGGCCTATCACTTGAAGAAGAAATCTCTATAGGAGCAGGCTCCACGAACAAGTCTTGACTGCAAATCTCTAGAGAAAAAATCATTTGAAGTGGACGAATTAGGACGTTATATTGAGTTTTTAGTTTCACTCTATTAAAAACAAAGATTGACCCTTCTCCTCGCTTAACTAACAATACAGGACCACCATAGAATCATTCCAAAATACAGTCTTCATATCAGCGATGGTAAGTGCTTGTTGCACAGAATGTGCCAACCTGAGCGCATTAGCATATCCTATCAATTCAAGTGTAGTTACCGATATTTGCTTTATGGCAGCAACTCTTGATTTTGCTCTAACTAACTGAATTCTTATTTCATTATTTTTATCATTCCTAATAAATTTGCACGCAGCATAAGCTTCTCTGCACGCATCTACAAAAATATGCATTTCACTGTATTAATTTATATCTATAAAACGCGGTACTTCAGCATTTCAGACATTTCATTATGTCAAGCTTTGAAAACCTTTACAAGGTTAGCTGGCAAAGAAGAGTCCCAACTTAGTTTTAACTTTCAAGCTTCCTGTAAAACAATTTTCAGTGGCAAAGTTACCGCACTGAAAATCCAATAGGGAAACAATTTTTCTGTATCAAAACTAATACAATTCGTTTTTTAAATATTTGCTCATCGCTAAGTTTTCCAAAATTCAGATTGCATCTCAAAGTATTCTTATCTAAATCTCATACTGTACCTAATAATTTTGTCACACCTTTATTTTTGGATACAAATTTACAATTTACATTGCTTTCCCAGTTTTTTAAATTAAAATATCCTCGAGACATAATCTGCTGAGCCTTTTCAGTACATGTTTCTTGTTCTTTCAGATCTGAAATACCATTGAAACAATTGTCTACATAAAATGAGGATTTTAATTTTTAAGCAAATTCTAATTCAAATGGCATATTATCCAGCATATGTGAAATTGAAGTTGTCAACAGAAATGGGCTCGATATGATGCCGAACACTACTCTACAATGTCTTTAGACAATTTCCTCATTTTCGGAAGGATAGAAAAAATCCTAAAAAATCTCGGTGTTCAGGCACTATAGCCAACTGTGAAAACGTTTTTTTTTTTACATACGCTGAAAGTCCAATCGGATAACTTCGAAATCTATCAACGACACCATGAATGAGCTTTATTAAATTAGGTCCTTTATGTAACAGATCATTTAAAAACATATTCCTCTCCTTCTAGCAGACACATCGAAAACGGCTCTAATTTTTGTTGTTGTGCTATCACTTTTAATGACAGGCCGATGAAATAAAAAATTACCACTTTCGATATCATCTATAACTCTTTAGATAATACCCAACTTCTCTCACTCCTGAAATACATGTTTATATCATCCATTTTTTTTTTTTTTTTTTTTTTTTTTTTTTGTGCGCTAGCATTTTTTTTAGTGACGCCTACAAGTTAATTCTTCATTAGAAGGCAATTCCCTAATTTCCTATTTAAACGGCAAGCACAATTCGTAACTATCATCTGGTATAACTTTTAGAGTATTTTTTAAATTCTCTAATATTCCAGCATACTCCATGTTTTTCTTTTTATTTTCAACAGGGTCTGAAATTCCAATGGTTCCTAACCTCCATAATTCACTAACTGACAAGCTATTCACTTGCAAAACTGTGACACTAAAAACCAGGTCTTTACTTTTCTCAGTTTGAGAAGTATTACATTTCCCCGTCAAAACATTTCCTAATCGAGTATTTAGCAAATATAAAACCCAGTTCAATTTCACAGACTACTCTGTAAGAATGGCCCCAATTACATTGGCTCCTAGCAATAAATTAATTACTTACTGTCTTCGGAAGTTCCAGATCTGATAAATAAATTCCCTTGTCTTTCAATTCATTCAAAACACACGTATCAGTGACCTTAGATACTGTGTTGCATATTTTTAATCCCGAAAATGCTTCTATTTGAAAGAAGAAAAATTTCTCACTTCAACAAACAGAACAAATCTACAGATTATAAGACCCATGTTCTGTCTGTTCCGCTTCCCTCTCCCTATACAAGCTATGCATCATCTTGACTTTTCGATGCGGCTTTAAGTATAATGTACCTATCGCGAATTTGGTAATATAGGAATGTTGAGACTCGGTATCAAGAATGCACCTTAAAATTGTTTCTTTACTACTTTAGCTTTAACATTTAAAGTCATTAAGTATACAATTTAATTCGTACAATTATTAGTTGATGCATTAGTCTGAACTGATTCATATTTTTCTTTACGTTCAAGCCCTTCTGCTTCATTTTTCCTTGTTGTTTTTACGGTAAGCAGACATAAGACTGTTAAGAGTGTTTGAGTCACAACAAGTGCAAATATTTTCCATTTTACAAAATTTCGCCAGATGGCCGAGCAAAATTTTCCTTTTAGCATCTAAATTCATATTTCTAGCAATAAAACAATCTTTTGTAGGATGTATTTTTTTCACAAAAAAGACAGGTAAAATTTCGCTTACCTGAACTGTCGTAAGAGGTGCTTGCTAAAGCTGCTGCAGTAAGGGGTTGAACGGACGGTTTATCAACCCAGGCTCTTTCTTACTAGCTAAATTAGCACAAAAACTGGAAGGCACAAGTTAAATCACTTCTTCATTTTTAACTTCTTGTCTCAGGAAATTCGACAATTTTTCTTTATCAATTTAGAAGAACATTCTTCTAATTCACTTGTTTCGCTTAAACTTCTTATTTCCTAAGCAATCAGAATTCCTTCGGGCAAGCATGGTTCCACTAGAGGATAGAATCTAGTGAGGTCAGATATAGAATCAGGAATCAAATATAAATTTTTTTTCCAGGTTATAAAAAATTCTAATGGTCTGTATGGAACAGTTTCAGTTTACGTTTAATGTCTTTGTTCCAGCGTCACTTACGAAACCTAGAAATTATTTTATTGGTGCGAAATACTTGCGATATAACCATAACATTTGTTTAATAAGAATACGAATCTGAATGAATTCGAATTCGCTATATTTTTAATATTAATAACAGCAGGACTGGGATTACTAAAACTGTTAAACAATTTCTATTTTCAGATCCTCCTTCCCCGCCTATAGTAGGAGTCGCTGATGTGACAGCATCTAGTGTTGGCATACATTGGAATATAGGAAGTGATAAACAACCATCAGTAGTTCGTAAGTAATGTTCATGGACTTTATTTACATGGATATTTCTTCCCTCCTTTTATTTTACTTTAGGATATAGATAACCCTTAACTTACCATGGCGATGATTTCCTCGATGAACCGAATAAACTGAAAAGATTTCGATTGAAAGTCAATAGCATAGTATTAAGTTTCTAGCGTTCAAGCATTATCAAGTAAACTAGTATAATGCTTTTGAAATTAAAAAAAAATCCTAAATATAATAAAAGGAATTCAATGGAAAGTGCTCACATATTTAGTTCAAATTTAGATGATGGACTACAATTATTTTGGGTGAGGACAGCTTTCAGTCATTTTATGCTACAGCAAAATTCGCCTTCCTGTAAAATTTCACCAATAAAAAATAGCATAATAAAACTCACCCTAGGAATTCCACAGGTATTTATCACGTTCTTTCATAGCCAAAATATAGGATATGAAGTAGCATAAGCGGCGCTTATTTTACAAAATAATTAATTAGAACAAATACAACAATAAATGCGGTTTAATGAAACACACACAAATATATATATAATTTAAAGTTAAATTGTAAGAACAAAATAAAAAAGACCAATTTTGGTCAAAATTTTGCGCACTTTGCTGCAAAATTAAGGAAATTAAAAGATAAATTTTAGTACGCACGCCAAAAAGTTACCAAAAACTGTGGCTCCGTGAAAACACTTCAACATAAGCATATTTAGTTGCTATGAAAAGTGTGAAAGAGGCGGTATGTCTGTGTGTATTATAAATACAAGGTAATAAAAAGTACCTATAATTACATACATATATATATATATATATATATACATACACACACATATATATATGTATCATATAATAAAATACAATGGCAGCTTTAAGAAATAATTGGCGACCTCAAAATTAACGATTCTAGATTTTATGCTTTCCCTCTAAGTTCATCCTTTTTACCAAATTCGAGATCTTTCCAAATTAAATAACACTGCTTGAAAAAAGTAACTAAAACTAAAATTAACGAATCACGCCTTATCTTTACAGAAAGCAGCTATGTAATATACACTCATGTCCATAAATTAAGGATAATTCGGATTCACGCGGAAGTCGAACTCTAAAATAAATATATCACCTGTAAAATCACTACACACATCTCAAAGAATCATATGCAAATTTCAGGAAGTAACCAGATGACACCGATGGTACGTCACAATGATGAGAGTGTAAGAGATTGATATATGAGGAATACAGGCAAAGAGGTAAAATTGTTCGCAGGCGTTTTACAAACATTTCAGTGCAATAACCGAATAGTTATGACACAAAGGACGCATTTGGATGATTTTTTACGTGGTAGAATTACCAGCCGTCTGGAATGTGGGCGTACCCATTTGGAAGTATCAGACGAACTTGGAATTGCCCAGAGTGTCATCTCCAGGCTTTGGCAACGATTCCAGGATGATGGTAATGTGAGTAGACGTTACAGCACAGGTCGCCTCAGAGTTACAACGCCGAATGAGGACCGGTATTTGGCAGTTACTGCCAAAAGAAACAGGCAGAGCACAGCCTCAGACCTGTCTCGTCAGCTCTCCTCAGCCACTGGTACGACAATTTCAAGGCAGACCGTGTACAGACGCTTAGGGCAGATTGGTCTATATGCTCGTAGACTTGTCAGATGCGTTCCAGTTACTGCAATTCACTGTCGCCTGCGGTTAGCCTGGAGTAAAGAGCATGCATTGTGGACACCGCAACAGTGGGCTTGTGTGATGTTTTCCGACGAGTCCAGGTTTAGCTTGCACTCTGATTCTCACCGGACATTCATATGGAGAGCTCCAGGTACCCGTTACCATCAAGAAAACATCATTGAACGACACCGTTACGGTGGTGCAGGAGTGCTCGTTTGGGGTGGAATTATTCTGGGTTCCAGAACTGACCTGCATGTTCAAATTGAAACCATGAAAAGCCAAATCGATCGGGACGTCATTCTGGAACAACATGTACGTTTGTTTCGGGGCGCCATGGGCGCACAATTTGTGTTTATGGATGACAAC